ATCTCAGCTCACTGCAACTTCTGCCCCCTGGGTTCAAGTAACTCTCCTACCTCAACCTGCCAAGTAGCTGGGACTACAGGTGCCCGCCACCATGCCTGGCTACTTTCTGTATTTTTAGTAGAGATGGTGTTTCATCATGTTGGCTAGGATGGTCTTGATCTCCTAACCTTGTGATCCACCTGCCTCGGCCTCCTAAAGTGGGATTACAGGCGTGAGCCACCACTCCTGGCCCCAGAGCCCATTTTTTACACCATGTTCCAGATATCCAGAATCCTGGAATTCATACCCCAAACAGCCCTGAGCCAGCTTCCACGGTTTAGAGGGCCCCTTCCTTAGATCCTGCCTCCCAAGGTGGCCAAAGCTCTTGCAGGAGGTATAGTTGAGCATGATGAGCAGGCTGCCATGTCCACCTGCACATGCACAAGGCCCTTGAAGCGTGGGATACAGCTTGGACGGGAAGACGGCGGGTGGGCTGTGGTGGGGAAGCCTGTTCTCCCCGCACCTCCTATTCCAGGCTGCTGAGTCTTTATAAAGGTTTGTTTGTCAAAGTAGGAGGATAGGACACATTCTCTTTAATGGTTTGTTAGCTTGATTTGCAACATTTAAATATGGAACCACATAGTAGGTGGCCCTCCGTTGGTACTCTTGTCCTAGGCCCCACAAGCATTTGGGGCTGGCCTGCTGTGTGCACAGCCCTGTCCTCAGGGCTCTGGAAGTATAAAAAAGTAAGTACACAGCCTACTAGCCCTGCCCTTGGCCTCTTTTGGAGAAGCCACTGAGCTGGCGTGGCAGAAGAACACTGCAGCGCAGAAAGGGCAGTGACAAGGATAGACAGGTCCTTATGGGCCACGTGGCATGTCTGCAGACAAGCCGTCACCCCCAGCTTCACACTCCTCCCCAAGTGTTCTTGACCATTTACAATGAGGATGTATTATTTAGGACAGCATTCCTCACACAGCATGTATAACAGGTGTAAACGCTACAATTTTTTTTTTTTTTTTTTGAGAGGGAGTTTTGCTCTTGTTGTCCAGACTGGAGTGCAATGGCACAATCTTGGCTCACCACAACCTCTGCCTCCTGGGTTCAAGCGATTCTCCTGCCTCAGCCTCCAGAGTAGCCGGGATTACAGGTGTGCACCCATGCCTGGCTAATTTTGTTTTGTTTTGTTTTTAAGTAGAGATGGGGTTTCTCCATGTTGGTCAGGCTGGTCTTGAACTCCTGACCTCAGGTGACCCACCTGCCTCGGCCTCCCAAAGTGCTAGGATTACAGGTGTGAGCCACCATGCCTGGCCTACATGCTACAATTTTTTAAAAAGATATATTAGGCTGGGTACCGTGGCTCACACCTGTCAGCCCAGGGCTTTGGGAGGCTGAGGTGGAAGAATCACTTCAGCCCAAGAATTTAAGAATAGTCTGGGTAACATAGTGAGACCCCATCTCTACAAAAAATTTTTTTTAAAAATTAGCCAAGTGTGGTGGTCCACACCTGTAGC